ACTTATTATGACTATAGAAGAAACACTCGTCTTATTTCCCATCTGATTGTAATTGATCAATAACACTCATATACTGTTATTATTATTATTTCTGAATGTACATTATCCCATATTACTGATTTGTATTCAAATGTCTAATCATCATGAATTCCACTCATGTATATAAATGAAGGAAGACGAAAGTTTTGTGATTGAGTGAGTGAGTGAGTGACTTGATATGATGATTATGAGTGTCAATAATGAATTGTGCTCGAAGCGTCGTGTGGTCGCATCAGTTAATATTACTTACTGTATAACACTACACACACTGTGAGTGATAATTTATCAAAACAGAAAATCTTATCCATAATGGAGTAGTTATACTCTACCACCACAACACAGTGCCTGCCCAAGTTTTATACTTATATTAATTCTTGAAACATCCCAGTCAAACGGCAGACACCTGTTTACATGACCCAAGATAACAGTCAGACTCCATGAGTTGGTGTCATGTTTCCTCTCCATCACCCCTAACCTAACTTCAGCCGTCCCATCTTCGTTTAACGTTACACAACTCACTAGCGAAGTGCAGCTTTATGACTCCAACCCCTGACATCATAATTATTCACCCAAATATTCCAACCGATAGGGTCGATAGAGAGGTGATTTGGCAACTACTTCGCTACTACGGGGTGCCACCGACAATTATACATCTCATCCAACAGTTAGTTGTACGACAATGCTGCATGCCAAGTAATCCACAACGGGAAACTTACGGAATCCTTCGAAGAAGTGAAGACGCGAGTAAGACAAAACTGGCTGCCTACTATTGACAATGATTTTCCTGATTGCAGTAGATTGGATAATGCGACAGACAACGGGCCGGGCAGTGAGGAAACAGGCATAAAATGGACCCACACAAAAAGAGAACTTGGAGGATCTGGACTTCACCGATGTGATATATGTATGTCTGATTTCCCACAAACTGGAAGATATGCAAGTGAAAAGCAACAAGTTGGCAGAAGAAGCATCGACAGAAGATAGGACTCGAGGTGAACATAGATAAAAGAGAGATAGGTGATGATGAAGACTCCTGGACAACGCCAACAGCAGCAACAACCACAGACAACAATCAGCCGGCAGAAATGGGAGGAACCTGAAAGAAACAATCTGCTTTACCTACCCACCAACCTGGGAAGCATAGTTTCAACTACAGGCGGACGGAACAGATGAGGATATCAAAGCAGCGAGGATCTTCGGGAAAGGAAGACAAGCTTTCATCACTCTCAAGTCTGTGTGGAGGTCAACAGCACTCAGCATGAAAATGAAAATAAGATCCAAATTTTCAACTCCAATGTGAAGTCAGTGATGGCATAGCGGTTAGGACGCTCGCCAACCATGCACATGGTCAGGGGGTTCGATCCCCGGCCGATGCACTCCTTTACCTCGCTAAGCCAGAAATAATGCTGGTGAAGAGGAAAGGTTGGGCATGAGGCTAGCAACCCCATCCTGTAAAATAGACACCGCTACAGAAACTTCAAGCCTCTAGCTTGAAGCCCTATGTTCCACTGGGAACGTGAAGGAAATTTTCAAAAAATTGTGAAGTCAGTCAGTGCTACTATACGGATCAGAGACTTAGCCAGTGTGTCATAAAGAGCACCTCAAACAAACTACAGACCTTCATCAACAGCCAGTTGTCTTCGCTCAATACCACTCAAGATCAGATGGCCGGCCGGCCAGAAAAGATCAGCAACAGAGAGGGATCTCTGGCGATGAGCAAACCAACACAGGAGGAACCGACTGTGCAACAAATAAGCAGGAAGAAATGGAGGTGGATTGGATTGTGGCCATACTCTGAGGAAACAAACCATCAAGTTAGTGACATCACTAGACAAGCCATTGCTGGAGTGGAACCCGACTGATTGGGAAGCGCCGAGTTGGTCGTCAGTGTGAGGGTGGGTGACTTGGAGTAGGAGGTCATGTGAAGAGGATAGGATGAGAGCATGTGGGCAGATTTGGTTGGAGCCAGATGAAGACTTTAGCAGAGAACCGAACGCAATGGATACGTGCGCGGCTGAAGCCATATGTTCCTCTAGGATTTAAAGGAAATAATATTAAAATATTCTAACTAATACGAGGTTGGAACTAAGTAACGTTGGTGAGAATTGCGGTGTCGAAAAGATTGTTAGGATTCAATCACTATATGATTAACCAATGCTGATGCTTCACCTTCAATGGGCGGGCGGCGTCTGTCTTACAAAACTGTTAAGTAGCAAAGAATGAATTACAATACGCTCACACGTCTTTTCACAGACAAGCAGATACACATCATATCTGCGCCAGCCAGAACTAACTCAAGCTGACGCGTAAACAGTGCCGCTGCCATCACTAGTCTATATAGCGGTTTACGCAACTCTTTTTAATAAACAAATAAACAAACTGAAGAACACATTCAGCCACTGAGCCTAAACTAAGAATTAATCCAGATAAGTCCTACCCTACATGGGCAAATTGAATACTAAATATATCAAGGTTTCTGATCAAAAAAGTTCTGAAGACAGCATTTTGTCAGTGTACTCACAATACAGCATATGGCAAGATTTAAACTTGCCTGTCTGTTTTCGACATGCACCAGTTCAAGTCGACACACTCCCCCCACTCATTGTAGCACACAAATCAAGAGAAGAAATGCATACTAGAGAGACAGTAAACACAGAGGTGTGAGACAAAGGAATAGTATTAACGAAGAACAATATATATAGTTTCATTGGAAATCATAAGTCACAAGGAGTGGATGCATCTGCCATCATCGTGAACGATTTCGAGCCATGTCACCAATTGTTTCTAACCATTGGTTTTTACCGTCCCAAGGACCCCAAACAGTCAGGAAGTCTACACCTTCCTACGAGACTGGCTGGCTTAAACTAACTGTTGTGGATTTCATTGACTGGTGAAACCATGTTTTGGTTTGACCACCGCTACCTCTTTCCAGCCTGGCCCTATATCAGCTAAAATGCCCATTGTCGAGGAAGGCGATGACTAGGCCACGCATGCGCAACACATATCCTAACCATCTCAGTCTACGTAATTTCACAGCCTCATTGTCGATTGATTTCCCCTCCCACCTACCTAGCATTCGACCGACGCCTAACCTCAATACTGCTCACCTTATTATACCACCACTTCACACGGGAGATAGAACGCAGACACCTATGATCAAAGACAGCTAGCCAGGCTTTTCCACTCTCAATGGCCAGGTCTCAGAGCCACCCATAAAGGAGGACGGAACGGACTGCTGAGATTTAAACCTAGTGAAGAAAGCAATACCTTAATTACTTCATCTATTATAATAAAACTAGATAAATGTGCTGACAGTCGCCCTCCAGTGACTTACATAACTAACTGGTTTTCTTCACTTCAGATGACCACTCCTCATAAGCATAAGCAAGCGCAAACGGAGTATCTTAATTAATTAATACACCGCCACTTAGTGTGAGACTCAATCGGACAAAAACTAGCAAAAGAAACCATGGAGCAATTACTTAGCAACGACGAACACCCCGTCGCACAACAATCAAAAATGCAACACACTCGAGCTGGATGGAATGCATAAACCTATGCCAAACAACGTACTTCCAATTCAACGGCCAAATAAATGAACAAGTCAAAGGAACACGCATGGGATGGATCGCCAATATCAGGTTTGATTGCAGAAGCAGTGATGCAAAGGCTCGAAAACATAATCACCTACCAAAGATCAAACCTAAGATTTCGATACGTTACGTACACGACACATTCGTAATAATCAAAAGAAACGAGTTAGATAAAGCTCACAACCTGATAAACAACGTCTTCAACGACATCAGATTCACAACAGAAGAGGAATCAGGGAACCAAATTCCATTTTTGGACGTCTTAGTCAAGCGTACAACCACAGGGGAATTAGAAACTCAACTGACACAGACCAAATCCTTAATTACAACAGCAACAATCCAATAGCACACACAAGAGGAATTGCATACAAACGCTATTCAAGAAGGCCAGTCAGGACTCATTGCAGCACTCCCACCTTAGGGAAAATTGAAAAAAGCTATCTCATGGATGTCTTACAAATGAATGGATGGATATCCACGAAATTTCATCAAAAGACATATACCCCCAAGCCGGCAAACTATCAAACCAAAAGCCCCAACGGAAAGCACAAAGAAAATCGCCTTACCATATATAAAGGATATCTCAGAAATCAATACAAGACTCTTCAACCCCCTTAGGAATTGCCGTCGTACACAAACCAAAAAAGTCACTTCACTCAATTCTATGTCAACCAAAAGATTCAACAGCGAAGGAAGATAAAACCAACATCGTCTACAAAATAGATTGTATCAACTGCGAAAAACACGACATTGGCCAAAGTAGACATCCCTCTTCTTCGTCTTCGTATCGACGAACATAAGCTAACTAGCCGTCAAACGACATGATATCCACTCCCTCGCTCATATCACTACATAGAGACAACCATGGACATCAATTCGACTGGAACAACCAAACCAACGTTCAAATATTAGACAGAGGAAACAACACCAAGAATGCTAAAGAATTTTTAGAAGCCTACCTGGTATTCCAGTGAATCATCAATCAATAGACACATCGAGATTGGCAAAATTTGTCAACCGATAGAAGGGGTCAAAGTTCAAGTCAAAGAAACAATAAATTACAATACAAGTAGCCTATATGGTGTGAAAACACACAAAAACAACCAATCACTTCCAAGGTGGTCACCGATCAGGAGAGATGATTAATAAACTCGTGGAGAAATCGAAAAGCTCACTTCATTTGAAATTGACGTGTACGCACTGAAGAAAGATGTCGCTTGTCTAGTAGGGCGATGAAAGCTTCGCAAATTAACTATCCAGCCAGCTCAGAGAGAGAGAACACAACCAAATTGAAACATTAGTGAGACTCAGTACAACGCAATGCACTTTATGTGAAAAAATGAATGCAAATCAAAAACACTTAGAATGATTTAAATCCTCATATATTTATATTTCACCTCTTTCTTTCTCTGTGAAGAATATAAAGAAACACGTCTTTGGAAGGGAATTTCATACCTGTAACGTTTGAAGAACCACAGAACCACTAACATTCTAAAAGAGAGGAAATGCACACACAGACAAAGCACGCTGATATCATGCACACAAAAAGTGTCAGAGAGGATAAACAACAACTCAAGGTTTACTAAGAGCGTCGTCCTTTTTTCTTTTTCCCGCTTTTTGCTGCCGCCGTCGTCGCAGGAGATGCATTGACCACCACCACCGCTTCTTCTTCTTCTTGACGTGGAGAATTCTGGACAGCTGGACTCGCTTGTGTTGGAGAAGACAGAGTTGTTGAAGCAGGAAGATGATTACTACTTGTAGGACTGGTCAAGGATTCTGATGGATGACTGCTGTTGCTGGCAGGCGCAGAAGACTCCGCATTCTGTACATTGGGATTATTTTTAACAATGGTATCGTTTGTTGTCACTGCTACAGCAGCACTCACTGGAGCAGGCACATTAGCTTCTGGTTTCATCGCTGGAAATAGAATGACCTCTTTGATGTTATTGGTGTTTGTCAGAAACATAGTTAACCTGTCCACACCAATACCACAACCTGCTGTCGGTGGCAGGCCATAACCGATTGCAGTGAGAAACTGTTCATCTGTGACCATCGCCTCTGCATCACCAGCTGCTTTGTCCTGGGAAGAAAGGAAGGAAATAAGTAAGCGAATCAATCAAGGGGAGACGACAGTGATGAGAAAAAAACCGCTTGTAATTATAGGTAAAAGAATAAAACTTGTGCACTGTGATAGAAGAGTGTAATTCCATTATGGGTAAATTTTGTTTTGATAAAGTCTCACAGTGTGGTGTTATACAGTAATGTTTACTGATGACCACGTTTCGAGCACAATTTATTGCTGCTCATAATCATATCAAGGTAATCACATATATAATCACATTTATAGAAAAACTGAAGGTGTAGCGATGGGATGGTTGATCACCAATATCCCCTATTGTAGCATATATACTTATGGATAGCTGGGAGAATGTGGCTCTTAATACGTTTAATCCTACTCCAAAAATGTGGTGGAGATATTTACTTACTTTACTTCGGCTATCTCCTACGGAAGGATGAGCCGGCTTCATGAACATCTCGAATCATCGCTGCCCAGGCGCGGCGATAAGAGAGTTCATGAAGTTTCATGGGAATTTGGTACGAGTGATGTCCCCAGAATCGCTCGGCCTTTTGTTTCAGAGTGCAGCTCTAGCCTTTACACAACCAAGTGTGACCTACAAGGCAGTAGGAGTGGAGTAGGGAGTCCACTATCCATTGGCAGCCGGTGACCGGAGTTCGGTTCATACGCCTTTTTGAATGGGGCCAGACATCCAGGAAATCCAACAAGCCCTTTGTCCATAGGTCTGCCGGTGAGCTCCAGTGAGCTTCATACGCCAGTCGTTGGAGGTTTGGAATCAGGGTTTAGCCATCTCCCCTAGACTGTCATCCAATGGACAGTCAACCCGGTGAAGAGCGCTGGGCATCCGCTTTCGCCCTCTCACTTCGGTGAAAAACACCTCCGCCACGTGAAGGCAGTGAGTAGGACTTCCTCAGGAGAGGCTATGTAAGACGCCCGGTCATATGGGAGCATTTGAAGAGGTGTGCGGAGGGGCGGCCAACCCGCAGCGCAAGGCATCCACCCCCGACCATCCTGGTGGAGATATGTGGACACTTTCACACACAGTGTTGAAAACAGAACATATCTCTAGCTTCTAGACAAACACAAAAACTCACTAGTGGAGGGAATAAAATTCACATTTGAAGCTGAAAATGAACAAGGAGAGTTAGCTATCACGTTAGATTGTAAAATAAAAACGAATAGAAGAAGGTTAACTGCACACTAGTGTTTATAAGAAACCAACTAATTCTGCTAATAGATATTTAGACTTCAATTCATCTCATCCGTCCGTTATCTGTCTGTTAAGGCAGGCTTAGTTAAGTGTTTAACAAACCGAGCAATGGCACTAAGCAGCACAAAAAAAGACCTAAATGATGAAATGAAACAGACAGAAGAAGAAGTAGCGTTGGTATCAAATAACTAACTATCCTATAAAATTCATTGGGAAGATTGCAAAAGGCCAAAAACAAAATAAAAATAATTATGGAACTAGTAATGATAACATAAATAAGAGAGAATATAAGTCACCCACTGTTATACCATATCAGAAGAGAGGGGACATCTGAGACACTCCCTGAGTAGGATTCTCAATAACAAAGCAGGAATTAGGCTGGTGGTGGCATGCAAATCTACAAACTCACTCAGGTACGACAAGCTGTGTAGGTTAAAGGACCCTATAGGTTGACCCAATTAGACAAAATAATATAATTTACAAAATACCCTGCAATGACTGTGAATTAGGTCAACTACATAGGTCAAAGTAGTAGATCGGGGTTAATCAGATTGTAAGAACATAAGAATTTAGCCAAGGGAAAAATGGCTGACCCCACCCGAGGAGATAGGTAATTTAGAAGACAGCTCAGCACTACATTGCACTGCATGCATTGACACACAACCACACAATGGTATGGTGGGAGAGGGTTAAGATTCTAAGAAGTAAGTAATCTATGCAGATGGAGCGAGAGAGAGAGAGGTTGATTACTGAATCCTGCCTGGTTCATTGAACCTACATCTAACACATGCAATAGGAATGATTCATCACTCATACCTGAAATATGGAAAATACTACTACCAATCAAATCAAGTGAAAAACAATGGAACTATATAAATGAATTTAGGAAGTCGTGTGATTACCTTGATATGATTATGAGCAGCAATAAATTGTGCTCGAAACGTGGTCATCAGTAAACATTGCTGTATAACAAACACTGTGAGACTTTATCAAAAACAAAATTTACCCATAATGGAATTAGGTGATAATTATATTTTTTTGGGGATACTCACCTTCGCTTGCTCCAAAAATCTTTCACGTTGTACAGCTGGATCATTCAACTCTGTGTACGCGTTACAAAGTTCTTTATGCAGCATGAATAATTCAAAGCGTTCAGTTAAACCAGGACGGGATCTATGCCATTTGGACAATGGACTCATGACACATGGATGACAGGTTAGAAAGGTTGGATTGACACACATTGGTTCTAGGAACTCTCCAGCCAACTGATGATGAAAAGCAAGAAAAAAGAGAGAAGAAAAGAAAACTAAAGTTAGATTATTGATAAAAACACGGCGAAATAAATCCGCCTTTTTGAAGTGACTTCCAGGGAAGGGTGTTTTTAACGTGACATCCTTGGATTACATATCTATTATGTGTAGCATCAAATAGTACAAAATGATTCTAATGATAAACACAACATATTTCTTGCGACTTTTCATTAGTGAGTATAAATACATGTAAATATATTTCTTCATTATAATAAACGTTTTTGTACTTCACAATGAATGAAAAAGAACAAAACGATATTTTTGTTTTTACTGACGTTTCGCTATTTAATGCTACTGCTAATAGCTTTATCAAAGCAGTATTAAACCGGAATTTACAAAATCTCAGCATATATAACAAAGACCATATCCCTAAAGATTCTCTATCTAATTGTGTCTATAAAATAAAATGCTTGCTTGGAATGTGATGCGATATACATCGGACAAACATCGCCAGAGAGAAATCAAAATCAGAAGTAATGGACACCGTAGAGTATCTCTTCGACCACAAAGAAATCCAATTGAACTGGAAAAACTTGAAAAATCATCAGCCATAGGTCGTCTACATGCTATAGAATCAGGTTACAAAATTGATTTTGACAATATTGAAATCGTCATCCAGAAAAAACATTTCAGAAATCATAAAGAACGTCTAATATCAGAAGCACTTCATATCAAGCGTAATCCAAATTGTCTGAACTGAATAGGAATAATGGACTAAATCAGAATCTGACCTGGTTGCAACACCATGAAGTGACACAGTTAACACGAATGTGATAAGCAACTTCACTATGTAAACACACATTGCTTTTTTATTTTTACACACTGATCAAATCCAACAATCTACACTTGGTTTTGTTATCTTTACCAATTGACCAACTTGACAATGAAAAATGACCCCAGACTGACGAACGATGATCAAATTGGTAAACTTTGTTTTGATGCCAGCCAGGGCAGATGTACTATCACCTTTGTTATTTGGTTTAGTGATTGATCTTCATTGTTATTTTGACTTTCAATATGTTCTCCTTTCAACTTGACCTAAGTAGTCCATTTTCTCACCCACCACTTAACTCTTTGTTTTTATATGCTGAGTGGATTTTGTAAATCCTGGTTTAATAATACTGCTTTGATAAAGCTATTAGCAACAGCATTAAATAGCGAAACGTCAGTGAGAGCAACAATATCGTTTTGTTTTTCATTCATTGGGAAATGCAAAAACCTTTTTTATAATGAATATCATATACCACGCAACGTTCAAATTTTTTCAAACTGTTAAAAGTGAACTTGGTTTGGACATATATAACATATTCCTTTAAATTACTTATTTATTTAAACGCAGAAAAAACTTGGTACAAATAAGGCACCAAGAAAGATGCGCCACATAATACTAATAATACAACATAGATTAAAAGTAAAAATATAATTAGAAAACGGATAAAGAACTTCATCTGGAAGGAAAACAGTCATACTTAACAAGTTCAAACAGTATTCGTTAACTATCATCAGGAAGGGAAGAAAGAAGGAAATTGCAACACGTTCGCCATTGATTACGATTCTTGGCCATACCCGATAACGTTTCGAGCTACCTCACGGACCCCGACCAGGGAGTCGTGACGCACCAACCGATGCTAATCTAGCACAAATATCCTTCATCCCATGACTCCACGTCATGGACTGACCACCTCTCCGCCTTTTCCATTCCGTCCCAGGGCTAGCGAACAGAGACCTGTACGGAAGCCTCTGGGATGACATTCGCAGCACATGTCCAAGCCACCGGAGCCGGTGTTTCCAGATGACGACAACACTCAATGAATGGTGATCTCCACTGTGTTCAAACACACGCCACCGAACCTCAGAATTACTCACGCGATGATGTCATCGAACGCAAGCAATCCTGCGGAGACAGCGATGATCAGACATGCAGAGCCGCCACAAATCCTCAGCCTACTCGGAGAGGCCAGGTTTCACATGCGTAGAGCAAGACAACCCCACATCGAAGCATTGTACACCAGACCTTTGACAGCCAGGCTAACGTGGCGATGGCGCCAGAGGTGGCTCATGTTGATGTATGCCACCCTATAGCCTTCATTATACGGTTGGAAATCTCATCCGTCACCCCTCCCTGCCAGCACTCACACAACTACCCAGATACACAAACTTATCAACAACTTCAAGCGGTTCACCTGCGGCAAGAGTGAGTGCAAGTACAGGCTCCTGCCAATCTTGTAAGAGTACTTTGCACTTAGATGGCGCAAAGGACATATACCATACTTACAGACACTGATCGCCAACTGATTAAGTGCGATTTGGGCAGCCTGCATGCTATCGCACAGTAAGACGATATCGTCTGCATACTCAATGTCGAAAAGTCTATCTCCAGGTAGCAGATCTACACACCACCTTCACACACACACATCCTTCAGAGCTGACTCCAGAATGTCATCGACGGCGAAGTTAGTGAAAATAAGTCGCTAGAGAGAGAGAAAAGTAAGACTACGATGTGGCTTGAACCCGTGTAACACAAATTGAGGATACTGTTTTCCTGACGACAAATATCACATGAAGTATGATAAGGTCTGAGAGTAGTCGTGAATGGTGAAATTAAAACATGGCTTAAGTTTTTGACAAACGCTCCAATTTTTCTGCTTTATTCCAAAAACAGTACTAATGATACAGCAAGGAATTTTCAGCATTCAGTACAATATGCATCTAATTTACACAAAACGACAAAAAATAATAAACATTACATAATAATAATAATAACAAAACATTGTTACTGAAGCTATGTAGCAATTACAGTGTGCGATAAGGAGAGAAAAATATGCATAAAGTATAAAATAGTACTAAAATAGTAATAACAACTAAAAATAAAATAGTCAAGTTATAAATTAAGCGATAGAAAGGGGGACACCATAGAATTACAGAAAGATGAACGAACGATGAAAGGGTCAATTCACTTTGCTAATTACATAGTAACTTATATGTTTCACGTCTAACAGTGAGTGTCTCCATCACATAAAATACGGGCTAAATAGGGTGGGTATTGTAGAATTTTTGTACTTAGTGGTTCGAGCATATAACTTCTTCTTATATTGACTTCTCGTCCTACCTGATGCAGGGAGTCTGATAGTACGGCCTTTGCCCATTTTCTACAGGATTTTATATGTCTCTCGACTATAATATTGGCGAGATCATGCAGTGGCATACCACAAGCTCTACTCACAGCATTTAACACCCTTCGTAATATATAATATAGTCTTTTTTGAGAAACCCAGGAAAGATTAATGGAGAGCATAGTGCAATAGAGTACAATAGGTAAAATACAGGAGTTTACAAACTGCAGAAGTAAAGGTTGGTTGATACCTGATTGTCTTAACTTTTATTTAATGTAGAAGGTTGTAGACGAAACATTTTCTTAGAGATTGATAAGATGTGGGATGATCATGAAATGTCAGAAGAAAGAACTAATCCAAGGTATTTATTTAATGCTTGACTTGGTTTCAATTTCAGTGCCATCCATGCTACAGGCATCATGGAAACTAACTAGTTCATGTATGTCACGTCGATGCTTGAAAGTGAAGCACTTAACTGCCTGACATTTGGAAGGATTTATTTAACATAAGACCATTTGACTTAGACCACTTGCTGATGTCCAACAGAAAGCTATTAAGTTTGGAGCAGTCAGACTCGGAAGTGATAGACAGTGAGTGATACAGTCAGATCATCCGCATATTTGACAAAGTTAGTTTCGTTTAAATGAGGCAGGTCGTGTAGGAAGAAAGAAAAAAGAAAAGGAGAGAGGATGGCATCTTGAGGAACACTGGCTTTTGTAAGCGAGGCAGAAGAAGATTTGCCATTATATGCAGTATACTGCATGCATTCTATCAGAAAAAATAAGAATGCAACCAACTCTTAGCCCAGGATCCTGTTTGCGTCAACGAAAGCTTATTTAATAAAAGGCCCCTAGGTACTGAGTCAAAAGCAGATGTGTAGTCTAGGGAAGCACCATGAACATATTTGGCACTTTCGTCTAAACAAGAAACAACATTATGATATAAGACAACCGCAGAATGCAAGGTACATCTACCATGTTTATATACAAATTGTTTAGGATCATTAAAAGGTTTCAATGAAAGTTCAAGACGAAGTAGAAGTAATTTTTCCATCAATTTTAAAAAGAAGTAATTGCAATAGGCCTAAATTTAATATCACTACCAGAAGATGGTTTTGGTGTGTATGGGAATAATTTTAGTGGTTTTCCATGCAAAAGGTAGAACATTACTGGAAAAGGAAGCATTTAAAAGGTTAGTAAGATGGTAACATAAAATATCAGCACAGTTGCTGAGGTCAAGTGGAAGTTGCTCAATTGTGTGATCCTAGAAAAAGTTGAGAATCAATGGTCAGGGAACATGATGAATGGGTCAAGTGTACAAATTTATTTACTCACTATCAACCATATTTTGAACGTCACTAAATAGTACATTCTCTCATAAACACACACCCACCTGTGTCTTTTATGGCACTATGGTACTTACCATTTTCATATGTTTGTGTTGCAAAGTGTAACAACTTGAATTTATATACATGAGTGGAATTGATGATTAGACATTTGAATACAAATCAGTAATATGGGATAATGTACATTCAGAAATAATAACAATAATAATATGAGTGTTATTGATCAATTACAATCAGATGGGATATAAGACGAGTGTTTCTGATATAGTCATAATAAATAAGTAACTTTTTAGAATGTTGTGATGTACGTGAATTGAATTGAAATAGAATACAATTTAAGATTATTTATTATCCTCCTCTGATTTCACTGACTGACTGGTGGTAATGATATCTTCCACACATTATTATATTATTATTATTGTTTCCTTTTATTCCTAGAGGAACATAGGGCTTCAACCGTGCGTCTCCATTGCGTTCGGTTCTCTGCTGGAGTCTTCACGTGGCTTCAAGACTGCCCACACGTTTTCATCTCCTCTTCACATGACCACCTCTTCCACACATATCTATGGTATTTGCAATGAGTCATTTCTGTTGCATGCGTTGTGTGTAGACTCGATGAGATTCCCTTAACAATCTCTCTCCCTAGGTCAAACTAAGAGATTGGGTGTAGTCAGATTGTCGGAACATAAAAATTTAGTTAAGGTAAGAATGGTTGGTCCCACCCGAGAAGATGAGTAAATTAGAAAAACTAAGAAGTAATCTATGCAGTTGAAGCGAGTGAGAGAGAGGTTGATTACTGCCTGCCTGCCTGGTTCATCGAGTCTACCTACACCCAACACAACACATGAAACAGAAATGATTCAATGCAAATACAAGAGATATGCATTGAAGATACTCTTACCACCAGTCAGTCAGTCAGTCAGTCAGTGAAATCAGAGGAGGATAATAAATGATCTTCAATTGTATTCTATTTCAATTCAATTCACGTACATCATCACAACATTATAACAAGTTACTCACTTGTTATGACTATAAAAACAAACACTAATCTTATTTCCCATCTGATTGTACTTGATCAATAACACTCATATTATTATGATTTCTGAATGTACATTATCCCGTATTACTGATTTGTATTCAAATGTCTAATCATCATGAATTCCACTCATGTATATAAATGAAGGAAGACGAAAGTTGTGTGAGTTAGTGAGTGAGTGACTTGATATGATGATTATGAGTGGCAATAATGAATTGTGCTCGAAGCGTGTGGTCGCATCAGTTAATATTACTTACTGTATAACACTATACACACTGTGAGTGACAGTTTATCAAAATAGAAAATCTTATCCATAATGGAGTAGTTATACTCTACCACCCAAGTTTTATACTCATATCAAGGATGAAATTATCAATTTACCTTGTCCAGTAATCGGGCTGTAGTTCTTGGCTCCGGACAATCAACTCCATGCTGTGTTGCCAATTTCATGAAAAATTGTCGGGCCTCTTCTGTATGCAGAGTGTCTGGAGGAGGTAGCTCCACGTTGAGTTTAGCTGCCAAATCATCATAAAAGTGGATACGTTTGAACGGTGGTGTACAATCAACCGTGATTGCTTCTGACTCTGGTCCATCTGGATGATACTTAATAATATACGACCCGAACAGATGCTTAATAAGACCTGTATACAAGGACGAAAAATCAATCCGTCAATAATAAAGAGAATGACACACAAATTTAATGTTAGTTAAACTAACTTTGACAAAAGACAGAGACTATAAAATACAGTAGATAATGTCTGTCTGTCTGTCTGTTTTCGACATAGAACTTGGCACCAATGTGCGGCAGTTCAAGTCGCCACACTCCACTCCTTGTAGCGCACAAAGCAAGAGAAGAAATGCATAATAAAGAGACAGTAAACACAGAGGTGTGAGACAAAGAAATAGTAATAACAAAGAACAATATAGTTTCATTGGAAATCATAAGTCACAAGGAGTGGATGCATCTGCACTAGCCATTGGGAAGGATTTTGAGCCATATCATCACCAATTGTTTCCAGCCGCTATTGGTTTTCACTGCCTCGAGGACCCCAACCAGTCAGGAAGCCAGTCTACACCCTTCTACGTGGCTGGCTGGCTTAAACTAACTGTTGTGGATTTCATTGACTGGTGAAGCCGTGTTTTGGTTCGACCGCCACTAACTCTTTTCCAGCCTGACCAATCCTATGTCAGCCAGCTAACATTGCCCATTGTCGAGGAAGGCGATGACTAGTCATGCATGCATACGTAACACATGTCCTAACCATCTCAGTCGATGTAACTTCACAGCCTCGTCGATTGATTTTCCCTCCTCCTAACCTAGCACTCAACTGATGTCTAACCTCAATATTGCTCACCTTATTATACCACTTCACACGGGAGATAGAACACAGGTAGGCACCTATGATCAAAGACAGCTAATCAGCCTTTTCATGTCTTCCACTCTCAATGGCCAGGTCTCACACCCAGTCATAAAGGAGGACGGAGCGGACTGCTGAGCAGTACACCCGCCCTTTGGTGGACAGCCAGTCAGCCGGATATCACGTCTAATAAGCCAGAGACGGCGTAAACTGGCATATGCGAAATTAGCCCTCTGTATCCGTACTCGGCTGAGATATCGTCAGAGATCAACCCGTTGGCATTGGCTGATGGTACTTCCCAAATAAGTGAAGCGGTCAACGTGCTCCACCAACCACTTCACTCCCTATTTCTAAACTAGGAGTCAGTGTAGACCAGTCAGTCCTGTAACATCATCTTACATTTGGCGGGAGCGAATCGCTCGCATGCCAAACATTCGTAGATTGCACCTCAAGTTGTTCAGAAGACTCTGCTGTATTTTGTCAGCGTCCTCGCCTAGAAGGACTATATCATCTACATGCATATTCCAAGTCAACGAGATTATTCCCTGGTAGCAGCAAGACAATCCCTGAGTGTTTGAAGTGAGTTAGGGTTCATACGAAGCCTTCCTAAGCACAGTTACAAAATTTTCATCATGAAAAATCAAAGAAAGTTTGTGAGCATCTGTTTTGTCGGGTTAATTATAATTTTGTGAAACATTTACAAGTGCCTATGTTTGTAGATTGTGCGTTAGTGGCATAGCGGTTAAGACGCTCGCCAACCATGCACATGGTCCGGGGTTCGATCCCCGGCCGACGCACTCCTTAACCTTGCTAAGCCAGAAATAAAGCTGGTAAAGAGGAAAGGTTGGGCATGAGGCTAGCAACCCCATCCTGTAAAACAAACACTGCTACAGAAACTTCAAGCCACTAGCTTGAAGCCCTATGTTCCACTGGCCAACGTGAAGGAAAAAAAATGTTTATAGATAACTAACTTGCCCACATGAATAACACAAGCAATATCCACGTTAAAAATGAGTTCTTCTGTAACAAGTATAAAGAAAGAAGGTATAGAGAAGTGGAGCTCAGATTTCTTTTGATTTTATATACCTTCAAAACTAGGTTAAAACTGCCACTAATTACAAACCAAAATGTACACTATACGCCATTGGACGAGATTCTGTGTTGTGTAGTAACTAGTCTCCAATCAAACTACCCACTACAGTCCTACAGGAGGTCAATCGCGAACCCGAATGGCTGCGGGCGGCAATTGGTAATGCGGGTTCAAATCTCAGAAGGGACGTGAGCTGTTACTTCAAGGTTGCAGATACGCCTTGCTGACTAACTGATGAGTGCCAACTTGCAGCACGAAACCTAGGTGTCTAGGCAAGGCTTCCTCTGGCACCGATTGCCTCCAACTAACTAATATCATCAAATCAATGTGTGCACCGTGATGGCGAGCCACCTAGTGGCATGGTGGCCACATTGCAAACCTGAGTGACTGGCGGATAGAATTCAGTCTGCACCAAAGACAGGACTGGACACACAGCACTAGTTACTAGTGTCCAATCAAACTAGTAGAAAATTCTAAATATTATCATAGAAAAATAGAGGACGGCGCAACGTTAATGAGTTAAGCCAGTGAATAGACCTTGTACTGTGGTGAGGGCTGGCTGCAAGCCAAATTGGTAGACAGTAATTTACGCCAATGGTTACGTGCCCAATATTGGTCATGAGAATGAAAAACAAGAACAAAGACTGACTCAACAACCAGTCGGTGTGTGTGTCGGTGGCACAGTGGTTAGGACTCTCGCCGACCATGCATATGGTCCAGTGTTCGACCCCCCGCCGACGCACACCCGGTATCTATGGTCGGCCCGCAAAATTTGGGCTACCGATATCCATGCTGAAAATTCCATACTTGTAGTGAAAATACGATGTGGCATCAAGCTGTATCCCATGGGAACTCCCTCAGTTTGCTTATATATTTTCCCTTGGAGGAATTTAAATACTGTGGGAGTCAGGCATAGCAAGCTGCACTCCCAGCATTATGTTCTCAAGAGGTACTTTAGCCCTAAGTTCGAGTTCTTGGTCAGAAATGAGTTCGTTTCTGACTGCCTCTATAGCCATATTTATTGTCGGTATACGTGTATATAAGCTGACAATGTCAAAACTGACCATTTTCTCTTCATTATCTAATTTTAAATTATCTAATCCATCTATGTTTTAGTTCATTAGAATTTGTTAGTCTAGATTTCGAGTAGCTTTTAAGGGGATTTAATACCCTGGCTAAATATTTAGATAATTCATAAGTAGGTGAATTTCTAAAATCAACTATAGATCTGTCTAATAGGGTATCCTGACTTATGAACTTTAACAACACGATACATCCTACTGGGGTTATTAGTTTTGGTTGACCCGAATAAGATAAGTAATCTAGAGAATAGTTCAGCTATAGCACCACATGACACCCAATTACACACAACCATACAATAGGACGGGACGGGATAAGATGACAGTTTTCAAATCTAATGTAACAGCTGGGTGGAGGGAGAGATTGGTAACAACAGAAGCTTTGTTCATCGAATCAACTGAGAGTGAATACGTGTAACAGGAATGATTCAACACCCATCTAGCCAGATAGATATCTGGAAAATTCTAATACCCCAATGACGACGACAAATAGGAGAGGACAAAGAAAACTATGAAACTCAAGTTTCGAAGTCGTGTGATTATAATTCGTGATATGATTATGAACAATAAATAAATTTTGTTCGAAACTGTGTCATCCAGTAAATACTAATACTGTTTCACTGACTGACTGTGTGTGATACATCTAATAAACAAACTAATATGGAATTACTTACTACCACCAAGTTTTACACACACATATTAATATGACTGACCGACCAGTCCATCAACCAAAATTGCTGAATGAGGAGGACAGGAAAAAACATTTGTAAAAATCGACTGTTAGTTTTTTTTCAGTACTACAACTTCATCTGATATCACAGTATCATGTAGAACATCCGGCTATCAACCAAGGGACGTGTGTACTGCTCAGCAGTTCGCTCCATCCTTTTCTATGGCTCCCTGAAACATAGCCAATAAGAGTTGAAGACATGAGAAGGTTGTCTGTTTTTGATCATAGATGTCTACGATCACTTTCTCACGTTAGGTGGCATAATAAGGTAAGTAATGTTGACGTTAGGTTAGGCGAGGAGTGTTGGGCAAAGAGGGAAAATCAATCGACGAGGCTATATAAGCTTACATAGATTGAGATGGCTAGGTCACGTGCTGTGCATGCCTAACCATCGCCTCCCCGTCCCGACGGGCATTACTAGCTGATATATAGGTGCAGGTTGGAAAAGAGTAAGTGGTGCCATGCCAAACAAAAACATGGCCTCATCAATCCATGAAATCCTTGACAGTTAAACTGAGTCAGGTATGGAGGGAGATGCAGACTTCCGGCTTGGAGCCGCCCTCGGGACTCTAAGAATCAATGGCTGGAGACAGACAATAGGTGACATACATGGCTCAAAATCGTTGTCAATGGCTTACGCAGATGTATTCAGTCTCTTGTGTAATCATCTTTCATATTCCTTTCTACCATTACTCATTCTGTTTCACTCTTATACTTGTCAAAACTCTATTGATTGATTCTCTTCACTCATCCATCTTCTTGTCTACCTTTGTGTGCTATTTGGACCGTGGCAACTCGAACAGCTGCACTTCGGTGGCAAGTTCTATGCTGAATGCAGACATCATGAAGAACACTACCAAAGTGTGAAAAATTAGTGCCCAAACAAAATCACTTCACAGGTCAGTGTACGTCGGTGGCACAGCGGTTATCACTCTCGCCGATCATGCGCACATGGTCCGGGGTTCTATCCCCTGCCGACGTACACCTGATATATCTATGGTCGACCTGAAAAATTTGGGTTACTGATATCACATGCTGAAAATTCCATACCTGTACCAAAAAAACACGGTGTGGAATGAAGCTGTAATCAAAAAATTTTTCAAAACTTTAAAAAAATACTCACCTGACAGCAAGTCTTCAGTGATTGTCATCAAGTCTTCATAATCTGCATAGGCCATATAAAATTCACAAGATGTAAACTCTGGATTATGCGTCAAATCGATGCCTTCATTTCTGAACACGCGGCCAATCTCATAGACACGATTCAGCCCACCGACGACAAGCATTTTCAGGTACAGCTCTGGAGCGACACGCATAAACAAATTCATATTTAACTCGTTGTGATATGTGACGAATGGTTTAGCTGATGCCCCACCGGCAATTGTATTCATCATAGGGGTTTCCACCTAAAAAATTGGGTTATATATGGATATATATGGAAATGGATATGGACGGATAGTCAAAACAGGTGAATCTAAGAGAAAGATGAATTTAATCTAAATAATTCTGCTAGCTTCAAAAGTTTTTCATCAAACTAACACGGGCTGGGTGGCTTTCACAGAAAAAAAATAATACGAATACAGACATCTTAATGATGCAGGGTAAAGTGGTATTGATTTTTGCTTACATTTATGTACATTTGATAATGAATTCCATTATGGATAAGGTTTTATTTTGTTAAATCCCACAGTGTAGTGTTATACAGTAATATTAACTGATGACCACACGCTTCGAGCACAATATCTATTAGAATGAGCTGGTTTTTTGTAAATCGACGCATTCTGCTAATAGATATTCAGACTTAATTTCATCTCAACCGTTAACTGTTAAGGCAGGCTTAGTTAAGTTGAGTGTCTAACAAACCGACCAGTAGCACTAAGTAGCACAAGAAAACACCTAAATGATGAAATGAAACAGATAGAAGAGTCGTTGGTGTCAAATAACTAACTATCCTATTAAATTCATCAGGAACATCAGTAAAGGTCAAAGGCGAAATAAAAATAATTGTGAAACTAGTGATAACATACATAAGAGAGAATATGTCATCCGCTGTTATATTATATAAGGAGAGAGGGCACATCTGAGACACTCCCTACGTAGGATTCTTAATAACAGAGCAGGAATTAGGCTGGTGGTGGCATTCAAATCTAAAAACTCACTCAGATAGGACAAGCTCTGTAGGCTAAAAGACCCGTTGGACTCAATTCAACAAAATAATATCATTTACGAAATGCCCTGCAATGACTATGAGTTAGGTCAACTATATAGGTCAAACTAGTAGATCGGGAGTAATTAGATTGTCGTAACATAAGAATTTAGCTAAGGCAAGAATGGTTGACCCCGAGCACTACATTGCACTGCATGCATGCATTAACAAACAACCACACAAGAGCATGGTGGGAGAGGGTTAAAATTCTAAGAAGTAATCTTTGCAGGTGGAGATAGTGAGATTGATTACTGAATCCTGCCTGGTTCATCGAGTCTACACCCAACAGAACACATGCAACAGAAATGACTCAATGCAAAGACCAGAGACATGTATGGAATATATTATTACCACCAGTCAGTCAGTCAGTGAAATCAGAGGAGGATAATAAATAATCTTAAATTGTATTCTATTTCAATTCAATTCACGTACATCACAACATTCTTACACGTTACTCACTTATTATGACTATACGAGAAACACTCGTCTTATTTCCCATCTGATTGTAATTGATCAATAACACTCATTATTATTATTGTTGTTTCTGAATGTACATTATCCCATATTACTGATTTGTATTCCAATATCTAATCATGAATTCCACTCATGTATATGAATGAAGGAAGACGAAAGTTGTGTCAGTGAGTGAGTGAGTGACTTGATATGATGATTATGAGTGGCAATAATAAATTGTGCTCGAAGCGTGTGGTCGCATCAGTTAATATTACTTACTGTATAACACTACACACACTGCGAGTGACAGTTTATCAAAACAGAAAATCTTATCCACAATGGAGTAGTTATACTCTACCACACCACAGTGCCCAAGTTTTATACTTATACCCTTTGAAATATGTTTCGCATTCTGTAGAATTACTTTTTGGGATTTTAATCTGATTTTGAGATCCAGTTACATGCTGTATCATGACTGTGACCAATTTTCACTTTCGCAATAACTAAGTCTATGCAGTTTTGTATATTATCAACGACTCGAAAGTCTAGAAACGTGTTGCTAACATTTCGCTTAGATAAGATATAAAAATATACCTATATTTGGGAGGTTAGGTGTCATTGGGAGACTGGTGTATGTTTATTGCTCAATCGGAGAATTTGTTTGTTTACCTGGGATATGCTGGTAAAAACGTGGGCGGTTTTCCATTCGAAATTGGACAAAATGGTAAAACGTTAACCGTTTTCGGTTGTGATATGGGTAAAGTGGGTTAACAATGTAGCACTTTAACCCCCCCCCCGGGCTTTCTGCCCACGTCTTTGCTGATCAAAATTACTCTTTTTAGTCTACATTGCTCAGGTACAATCTCTGATTGTGTGTGAGATATGAATTCCCTATTCATTTCACTATGCGAAGACAGTGACAAAGATGCTAACAGAACAGCACTTGTGTTAAAGTCTACACTAGAAATTCACTCCAGAACAGAAAGTTGCAGTCCAGTGCATTCAATTTGACATGATCTAACAGGGGGAAGTAATCAATTAGAGAGAGCATAATACATTCTGGCTTGTTGAAATCTATCAGTCAACTTGACTTCACTTCACTTGTATTCAGTGAATATATTATTTGAAAGTTTTGTGTGTGATTCCTTGATGATTTGTGGTGCTGTGCTTACTTAGTATTAAAAGTTTGGTTATTTACAGAAATCTGATGGCCTGCATGAGCTTTGCATCAAGGCATATGAACTGATACACACTCTCGTTAATGGGGCTTGACACATATTCAGTGATTTGGAAGAAACCATTTGGTTTTCAAAAAAAGAATCGTTGTCTACTTAACGATTGCCATCAAAGTATTCGTTTTATATATTAGATTGTTGGAGGCAATCGACCAGAGGTTTCGTGCTAGTTGGCACTCACCGGTCAGTCAGTCAGCAAGGCGTATCTGTAACCACATTGAAGGAACAGCTCATGTCCCTTCTGAGATTCGAATCCGCGTTACCCAGTGACTACTGCAGTCAGAGACGTTACCAGTAAGGCAGCTATTCGGACTCGTGGTTGACCTCCTGTAGGACTGTAGTGGGTATTTTCATTGGACACTAGTCAGTAACTAGTGTGACGTGTCTAGTCCTTTCTGTGGTGCAGACTGAATTCTATCACTCAGTCAGATTTGCAACTGATGATGATGAATGCCAACTAGCACGAAACCTAGGTCCTAGGCTTCCTGTAGATTGCCTCAAACTATCTAATATCATCAGAGAAAGTAATTATTTCTAAGAAATGTGTGCGGTTCGGTTGGTCGGCCGGTTTTCGACATAGAACTTTGCACATATGTGCGGCAGTTCAAGTCGCCACACTCCCTTCACTCCATGTAGCACACAAAGCAAGAGAAGAAAGTAGGAGAAATGCATAATAATATCGATAGTAAACAGAGGTGCGAGACAAAGGAATAGTAATAACAAAAGTTTCATTGGAAATCATAAGTCACAAGGAGTGGATGCATCTGCGCACCAGCCATCATTGAGAACGATCACTTTGAGCCAACCATGTCACCAATTGTTTCCAACCATTGGTTTTTACCGTCCCGAGGACCCCAACCAGTCAGGAAGCCAGTCTACACCTTCTTACGTGGCTTAGACTAATTGTTGTAGATTTCATTGACTGGTGCCATGTTTTGGTTTGACTGCCGCTAGCTCTTTTCCAGCCTGGCCCTATATCAGCTAACATTGCCCATTGTCGAGGAAGGCGATGACTAGGCATACGTAGCATATATCTTAACCATCTCAGTCGATGCAATGTGTGCGGTTACAAAACAATAAGTTGTGTACTCTAGAGAATACTGAAAAATCTGAGTAGGGAAGTTCATAATTCATAGTTAAGCCTGGGTGACCACACACATAAACTTTGAACCAAAGCAATGATCACAGGGAAGTCAATTTCACGCCAAATTCATGACTATATAAAACAGGTCTTAGGAAGAAATGAAACAACATTGATTTCATAACCAGATCCTTATATATATATATATATATATATATAAGGAGTTTCAAATTCTGAAGTTTTATAGTGTATCCAACAAATAAGATATATATATATTCGAAATTAATTACCTCTAAGAATCCGAGATCATCCAAGAACGAGCGTATGTAGTTGATAATACGAGAGCGTGTAATGAAACGTTGTCGAACATCTTCATTCATCATAAGATCCAGGTAACGTTGGCGAAAACGAGTTTCCTTATCCTTTAAGCCATAGTGCATGTGAGGAAGTTGGTATAAACAAGGGGAGAGGAGTACTATTTCACTAGGAAGGATACTCAATTCACCAAGCTTAGATTTTCCTGAAAACATAAATATATATACACATATTTACTAAAATAAAACAACTCATTACCTGGTATACCAACACATCCTATGATATCTCCCAGGTGAATTCTGTCATTAATTTCCTCAAATTCCTGTTCGGACTTGTAATTACGGACGTTGGCCATAACTTGTAATTTACTCTCATCCGATCGAATGTCATAAAAAACTAACTTGGAACCAGCTGACCGCTTAGCGTGAACACGGCCTGTAAAATAAGTAGTAGAGCTAAAAACTGAAAATTACCTGAAACGCTGACGCAAACATTATCTAAATGTTCTCCAGGGCAGAGAGATGAATATTTCTCTATGAACTCGCCCAAAGATATTGATACATGGAACTTATGTGGATATGGGTTTTTATTTAACCTTTTAAGTTCTGCAACTGCATTTTTCCGCATTTCATGGTAACTCTATTGGAATATTAACCAATTATTGTGACTTACTGTGGCATCAATTTCATTATTTTGGTTGTCAGAAGCGGTTGTTTTGGGTGTTCTATAAATGTCAATAATAGTGTAATAAGTGATACATACGCCACTTCATTTTCTTTATGCACAGCTGACATCGTACGGGACAAGAGTGGGATGGTGCTACAATATGATACCACGCGACTCTTAGTGAGGATGCTTATCATGCGCGCCACATAGGCAAGTGTCTTAAGACCCGCCCATTGAAGGGATTCAATTTTAATACGTTACTGAGGTCTTCAGTTTGTAAGTACTACGTCCCCCACTTCCCCATCTGTTTGGATGGATTTGATCATTTCTAACAGAAAATGAAGTTCAAGTTGAATTTTCTAAGGAAGGAATGCCTCGACAATGTCCTCATCGTCTATAAGCTTTTTGAATTTGTCGATTGAAGGCGCAAACAACATTTCGTCCGGAAGTTGTTTAGTGACTAGAGCCTTCTTTGGAAAATATGCTGACAGCCATATTTGTTGACTCTGTTCGTATATCCCACACTATCTTGGCAACCAATGGCTCCATGACCCTTTCTATACTTGAACTACCAGAATTTTTTAATTGAAACCTCCCTTCCATGTAACCTCAGCCTAGCGCATTAAACGGGAAAGGGGCCAACCTCTTTGGCTTCTCAGTTCTCCAAGACGGAATAAGTGTCTAACCCACTCTAATAAAACGTTAACCATCTGGTTAGGACTCTCGCCGACCATGCACATGGTCCGAGGTTCGGTCCCCCGCCGACACACACCTGATATCTATGGTCGGCCTGCTAAATTTGGTTTACCGATATCATATGCTGAAAATTTCACACATGTACCGAAATTCTGTGTGGAATCAAGCTATAATAAAATAAAATTTAAAAAATCAGTTGTCTCATTCGATTGCGTTTATTAATGATGGCTTGGAAAATCAACAAACCCATAAATCCGACTGAGGTTCAACCGTATCATATTCAGTTGTAAAAATAGTCACAGGGAAAACTAGTGTTCATAGGTTCCAAAGGCCAGTGAAGGCACTACACTGTGCAGACTTTGGTCATAATAGATGACTACTTGGAGGGACCCACCAAATATATATGTAGCTCACAGTGGTTCTTTATGCAATCTAACCAGTGAGAAGTCTTCCAAACTATAATTCTCCGTTACTTACAAAATTTCGCTTTGAAATTTTTTCATTCTAACACCATTTTTGCCATCGCTGTCTTCCCAGCACCTAACGTTCATCAAAACGCTGGTTGAATTGTGTACATTTATGCACACAACATTAATGGCTGCAGGCTACTGATCAGTGTGTGTATGCATATGTGGATGCTTGTACAGTTCAGTAGTACATAAAATCAAATATTTCTATCTCATAAAGAGTTAGACACTTATAACATGCTGAACATAATCATTAAAATATTTCCGATAATGAACATTAAAGAACATAACTACCATAGTAATCTGTGGATTCTTAAAAGTGGGTGACCACATTTCGAGGTGATTTCGTTCTGTTTCACGATGAACTGTCACAGTAGTGGCATTAATATACGTAAGCAATGCAAAGTTAGTAATTTGAGATCAAGGAATTGTTCCATTTTCTCATGGGCTTGTAGTGTTCAGGTTTCCGTAAATAGGCATACAGAAGTTGCATAGATGTCACATTTCATCTGCAACTCTGCAACCAGTTACATAGGAGGAATTATTAATCTGATTTTAAGTGGGAGATGAGGTTCACTAACCTGTAGTGACAGCATGGCATAGTCAAGTAGGTGCTCCATCAAGTTATTACATATTTACCTTCTCTATTAACTGAGATGAAAAGAAAAATTGTACTTGTGCTGCGTACCACAAGTCGTAATTTGTTCGCAGTGGCTGAGTGGTTATTCAGAAATAAGTCAACTCGACTCGCCCCCAAAACAAGGAGACTGCTGAAAGTTTCAGAAATTATCATAAAGTTAATAAAGAAATATGATACATATTGAAAAGATGGTCAGCCGTATTGGCTTAACATAACATTTTGAGGGAAACTGTCTTTGGAAGAGAGCATGGGTAAGATAAAGAATGGCTTTGAAGGACACCTGGAAGCAAATAGATGAGTAGGGTTGGTGAAAAATAAGATGAGCCAATCAGAGGATGGCCAACAGTAGGAGGATCAGAGTTCAACCTACGGTGCACTTTGTGAAAAAGTGAAGAAGAGTATGAGGAGAGACAGAAAGTAATTATAATAAACATTGATAGCTGTGGAGTAACAGACCATGAGTAAGAGGGACTTCAGGGGAAACTTCAGAGGACCATGTAAAACAATTGGTTAGCTATTCTGGAAAGGTCAACGAGGAGGAAACCAGTGAAAGATAGTAAAGTGAACCTAATTGTCAGGGTGGGGAAGCAAAGGAAACGGTGAGTTGTTGATCCGACTACCACCTGCGAAAGCCAAAGAGCTACTAGGAAATACCAGTCATCCTGCTATGCAGAGGTAGTGAATGCCGTAAAATAACCGAAAGTCAGAGAGGTAGCAAAGCCAGATGGAATTAAAATGTAGGCACTCAAAATGGACCCAGAGATCTGAACGGATACCCTGACGCCACTGTTTTTGAAGGGAGGAAGGCACCGATTGATTGAAAGAAGGGTGACTTAATCCTTTGTGAGAGCTGGTGTAGAATCATGCTGTTGCCCACACAAGCGAAGTACTCAGTCGTGCCATCCTTGAGAGACTGAAATATTCTGGATGCAGAACTCCTACCTTAGCAAGCTGGATTCAGGAAAACGAAATCATGTGCAACGCCATTCACTGTCACCGTACACAGCATGGGGTGGTGGTCAAATTGCTACCTCAACCCCATCCATTTTGAAAGCACCTTCGACAAAAGCTAATTCACAGTTGTAATTCGTAACATAATTGATCGTGCCTGTAAAAATGGCATGCATTTCATGTAAACTTAGTGTTTATACGAAATATAAATTATTATTATTAGAAGTGATTTGGGAACTCCTCCAAAAATATGGAGTGTATCCGACTCTTATCACTGAACATCTATATGGCCCATAGTGGAAAACTTAGTTGGATGGGAGAGAAAGCTACTTACTATCAAAGATGACAGCCCCAATTTTGGTGGACTGGGTTATACGGTAGGCCGTTAGAATCGAGCAGACAGCAGTTTACTGAACGGATTAGAAGACTGTAAGGGATCTGGACTTCACTGATGGCTTGTGTCTAATGTAACGCAGACTCGAGGACTAACAGTCGGAAACCAACAATTTCGGAGAACAAGCAGCGGAAGAGATAGGACCTTAATTAAGCACAGGAGACGCTGGAGATGAAGGCAGCCAGGCAACAACAGCAAGCTCCAATTAATATCGACAGAATAGACTTGAAAGAGGTCACCTCCTTCATTTATCTAAGCAGCCCTGTCTGGGCTACAGACGGAACAAATGAGGACGTCGGAGGCAGGTATCAATTACTCTGAAGCTAGCATGGAAATCTAGTGCAATCAGTTTGAAGATCAAAATTCGGATTTTAAGTTCTAATGGTAAGTCAATGTTTGAACCTGGTCCGGGTTGATGTGTCGCCAAAGATATTTTGAATAAGCTCTAAAAATTTATTAACAGCTGCTTCTTTCCATACTGAAGATCAGATGACCGGAAAGGACTAGCAACAAAGAACCCTGGCAACCAACTGATCAGCTACCTTTTGCCCGGTAAATATGACTAGGGAAATGGAGGTAAGTCGGATATATACTGACGATACCACTGGGCGACATCGTGTGCTGAGCCCTTGTGTGTGCCCCTCATGGGAAACGACAGGTTGAGTATCCGGGGGCGAAGTGGAGGAGATTTTTTGAGGAGGAAATGAGGGTTTGTGGGAGATCGTGAGACCAGGAGAAAATTACTGCAGGGGACAAGATGAAAGGCGGGTATGCTGTTAAAGTACAGTTCAAAAGGGACCCAAGGTAGAAATTGCTCCACCGACAACAAATGATCTTTTTCAAACAAGGTTCTAACGCCAGCGTGTTGTGACAACCTGTATGGTCATAAATGTATCCTCAAACAGTTATTCTTTATCTGAAGTATCGTTGCACTTATTAAAGTTCTGGTTGGTGACTAATTTAATATTCTCTAAGGATAACCAAATTTCTTACTTGATTGTAGACGATAAAGTGTTCGAAGTGTCATTACTGAATAATATTGCTTCTTTGAATAGTATATTCGGTAAGCGAATTAATATGGAAATACTCGCTAATGTCCAAGTTTGGCATCAGTTTTAGTGACATCGCAGTAATCAAAAGGTGGGTGTGCTCAGACTTCTAAAATAAGCATTTCAATACAGAGGAAATTACGAAGGATGCGTCCTGGACGTCTACAGGTACTAAATACATATCTTCCGATGTTAAATTTAGAGTACGGCACTAGACGAGAAAGGGTAAAATCTCGTGTTATATTTTGGTGCCAAGTATAGATTATAGTGTATATGCTTAATGAGACATTATTGCCACCTATTTGGGTGAAAGTGGAGTTAATTTTAAGCTTTTTGGGGCGAGGCAGTCAACATTTCTTATATTTCGGTTATGGTGTTGCCTAGCTTACACTTAAATAACGCAATAGTATTAATTGGAGAGCACCTGGCACCTTTAGTAATTATTAGACCCAGCTTATTAATACTCTGGAACAATTATCCACCCTACACTACGATCATAAGATCCTATGTGGAGACTTTAACTTGCAAGAAATCAACTGGGACACACCCACAGGCCCAATTAAATTTGATAAGTTCTTTGACACACTGGATATGCTTGGCTGGAAAGAAACTGTCACTACCCCTACAAGAGGTAATAACGTACTAGACTTAATCTTCTATTACAGTATAAGTCCCCTCTCAATCTTAGTGGGTTCCAAGTTTTCTGGTAGGGACCAAAAAACAGTGATGTGTGCACTGCCACTTCCACCAAGTAGCAATGCAGCCCATACCCCTACTTTACAACAAATAACATACAGGAACTACAGTAAGGCACACTGGGCTCTAGTGAAATCAATGTTAAGATCCTCAGAATGGAGAGAGTGCTTCTATACTGATAACCTCTCGAAAGCTCTAGACATCTTTTACTATAACTCCAACACATGCTTAGATGCTGTCATCCCACTTCAAACACTAAAGTTTTCCCCACATAGAAAGTCATTCATAAAGCCAAAGGATCGTACGAAACTGAAGAAACTCTCAACAAGTTACTTCAAACACCACGACTTTGGCACACTAGGTTTAATGCTTAACACC